GGCCCCAGCTGTAGCGGGAGGGTCGTGGCCTGTGTCTCAGCTCCAGGTGCGGAGGCGGCTGCGGGTAGCTGAGGTGCGAGCTTGGACACCCCCGGGGTGATTAATCTCTGCGCTAATTGGAGGTAGTTTGTCTCAGAGGAGTTGGCTTGTTTCCCTGTCGTGAAAGCGTTACTGGGGCTCGTACAGCAGTAGGTGAAGAACAATGAAAACCATTAATATGTGACTTTGCAACGGAAGGTTAAAGAGCCACGTTCCAGTCGGTGCTTTGGCGTCGTGGTTTGCGTTTGTGTGTGGCTAGAGTGAAATGAAAGTTACTGAAAGAGGCCTTCAAATACTCGTGCATTGGCCTCTCATGGTAACGTCATCTCATGAAAGAGATAAAAAAAAGGGGTGAGGATTTTGTTGCTCTCTTTGTAGGTTCTCATCTGCCGGAATTACCGCGGAGATGTGGACATGTCAGAGGTGGAGCATTTTATGCCAATCCTTATGGAAAAGGAAGAAGAGGGGACACTTTCTCCCATTCTAGCCCATGGAGGAGTTCGTTTTATGTGGATTAAACATAACAACTTGTATCGTATCCTTTATACTGCAGCTAACCCCTGCGTGCTGAGATGCAGAGTGCTGCTACACTATTTCTGCTGTTTGTGTCTAAATGCAAAGCTGGAGAATGGGTGAAATAACATCCTTTATTAAATAAGGTTGCTTTATGCTTTATATAGTGCATGCACCAGCAGCACAGGGTGCAGAGAAGTGTTTATATTAATGTTACTCTAATAAATTACTTCCCAACGGTTTCTCTTCGTATCTTGTTAGACCAGAGGTGCTGTGAATTAACTCATAGGAGGGTGGTTGGGTTTTTTTGCCAATTCTAATTGCCTAAAGGCATTTATTAAACTTTTTTTTGAGTAGGTGACTCTGAATGCATTTTCCTGAACATCCTTTGTCAGTTGTTGCAACCTCTAAGAAGAATGCTTGTGTGTCACTGGTGTTTTCATTTTTATATAAAGTAGTTCAGGTGAGTATGAAATCTCCAAAGTAACCTCTGGCTTCTTTTCAGTTCAGTCTAAATATCAGTGCATAGAGCTGTCACACTGATGAAGAACTCTGTGGTAATAGCATTTTTTACTTTATATTTGGGTATTTTGTACAACGATCTTCCTGTAGTAATGGAATTGGTATTTTGTAGCTGAGTAGGTAAAGGATGTGACACAATGCTGTAAGTAGTTGCACAAGGCCTGAGGACATGGAGGAGAGTTGTGAACTTGATGCATGAGTAGTGGCATATCGTGTAGTTCCCATGTTTGGTGCATCTGTACCTGGTGTGAAAAATGCTTTCTCCAAAATAAGTATTTTTCATAACAGTTAAGAGTTGCTTTTAGGATTCTCTAACTCTCTTTTAATGGAGGTGGATTTCCTGAGGCTAAATCTGCTGGGTAAATGCTGTTTGTGAATGATGGGGCTTGGTTTGGGGGTTTTTAGGACTTGGTATTTTAGATGCAAGAATACATTCTGAATGTGCTGTACTTCCCTCAGATAACATCCTCTTCCTTCCCCTCCTTCCTGTCATTTTGTTTCAGGTTTTTTCTGAATATTTCAAGGAGTTGGAAGAAGAGAGCATTAGGGATAATTTTGTTATTATTTATGAGTTGTTAGATGAGCTTATGGATTTTGGTTACCCCCAAACCACTGATAGTAAAATCTTACAAGAGTAAGTATCATTCTGTGTCACTTGCAGTGACAGACTTCTTTGAAAGCTTTGGGCATCATTCTACATGCAAGCAAATGCTTTGGCTTGGTCTAGTTTGCAGAAGAATTAATGTTCATTTTTTTCATGCCAATTATGTGTAAAGGTACATCACTCAGGAAGGCCACAAACTTGAAACTGGAGCTCCACGTCCACCTGCCACTGTTACCAATGCTGTATCATGGAGATCAGAAGGGATAAAGTACAGGAAAAATGAGGTGTTCCTGGATGTTATAGAGTCGGTTAACCTTCTGGTGGGTACCTTTGATTTTAACTCTGCATGAAAATCCTAATAGGAAGTGCTGCAAGTGGCTTACTGTCTGAAAACCTGCAGGGTGCAATAAAAAGTCAGGTTGACTGTGGCTAGTGGCCTGTGCTGCTCAGAACAACACCAGTCATTAAGACCCAAGCACACATAAGGACATCGAGTGCACACACAATGCTTTACTTATATGCATTATAGAACCACAGAATGGTTTGGGTTGGAAAGGACTTTAAGATTATCCAGTTCCAACGCCCTGCCATGGGCAGGGTCTCCTCGCTGTAGACCATGTTGCCCAAGGCTCTGTCCAACCTGGCCTTGAACACTGCCGGGAAGGGAGCATTCACCACTTCTCTGGGCACCCTGTGCCACCGCCTCAGCACCCTCACAGTAAAGAACTTCTTCCTTCTATCTAACCTGAATAGCTGATTTCTGATCTGTCCTTTCCTCCTCTGTGTGTGCCCATCACCTCCCTGATCTAATTCTAACCTGTTGGATTAATTTCCCAGGAGAAGGACATCCTGGAAGACTTGGGACATGGGGATGGGGTGGGAGTGCTTGATGTCACAATGTATCCCACCAGAGCAGTCTCACCTTTGTCTTGTTTTACTTCAGGTCAGTGCCAATGGAAATGTATTACGGAGTGAGATAGTTGGATCCATTAAAATGCGAGTGTTCCTCTCGGGAATGCCAGAGCTGCGCCTGGGTTTAAATGACAAAGTTCTCTTTGATAATACAGGCCGTGAGTATTCCAGTGACACCTCAGTAATCATGAAAGATGCTGTCTGAAGTCTTGGGTGTTGGGGTGCTTGAGGTTCAGCTGGAAGGATTTATTCGAAGATGATAGAAATACTCCCTTTTTCAGGGTAGAAAACCACATTAGGTCTTGTGTGACACTATCAGGCAAAGATGGAATACCATGGTAGTGTGTGGTAACCTCTTGTGTGACACTATCAGGTAAAGATGGAATACCATGGTAAAGTGTGGTAACCATCTTGGTTTCCTCATCCCTTTTTTCACTGGGACTTCTGTAGTCCTAAAAAGCTCTAGCAAGCTGACAAACATGCTGGCTAAAAGGGAGGAATGTCAGCAGACAACAGCTTTGCTGTGTGGCTGGCACTGATGAGACTTGGGACATCGGTTGTGTAGCACCTGGGAATGTGTATTTATCTCTAGGTGGCAAAAGTAAGTCGGTGGAACTGGAAGATGTGAAGTTTCACCAGTGTGTTCGTCTCTCTCGCTTTGAGAATGACAGGACGATTTCTTTCATTCCGCCTGATGGAGAGTTTGAGCTCATGTCATATCGCCTCAATACCCACGTGAGTCTGGATGTTTGCTTTTCCCATGATAACACTTCAGATTGTAGGCAGCACTGCTAATAGCTTGCCCTTAATTATTTTCTTTTCCTTAAAATCTAGGCAGCACAATAGTTTCCAGAACTGTTAATAAAGCTTTGTGCTTGCTTGCTTTGGAGGAAGAATGAGTTGGAAGTAACTTGGCAATAAGTCTCTATATTTTCAACTACTGTTGACACTCTTGCTGAAGTACCATTCCTGTGGTGACTTCTTAAGCTAACTCCATGATGAAATGTCAGGGTAGCAATTCACCAGTGTCCTTGGTTCAGCTCTAGCAGTTACTTTTCTCCTTAGTAGCTGGTGCAGTGCTGTGTTTTCGACTTTAGTCTGAGAACAATGCTGGTAACACCAATGGTTTTGTTCTCAGACTAAAGTCAAAATCACAGCGTTGCACCAGCTACTAAGAAGGAGAAAAATAACTGCTACAGCTGAAGCCAGGACAACCAGGCTTAACAACAACAGCACTTAAGTCATTTTATTTTATTAGAGTATGCTAGCCACAGTGAGAAGGAGAGTTTTCCTTTAAGAACAGGTAAAAACCCAAATCTATAATACAACAGGAGACAAATCAGAACTGTAGTGGTTTTTTATTCAGAGTTCTGTTTAGGGCTTGGCACAGCTCAGTCCCTAGTGTGTTAAAATATCAAATGTGTTGCAATGCAAGTGTTTGTTGTTAGGGATTTATGTGAGACATACATTTTTAAGCCTGTAATTCTTGTAACACTGGGTCCTTGGCATATCAATGCTTGCTCGTTTGTATAATTTTATTTTTAATAAAACCACAACTTGTTTATCATTACAAGCACCAGACTTTGCTTTCTGTGGGATTCACATGTTGAGTGTAGCTTTGTGGGGAAGCAACATTTGAATGACCACGTCAGAGGAAAACCTACAGCTGTTAAATGGGTTTTTTCCCCCCGTTAGGTAAAACCACTGATCTGGATTGAGTCTGTGATTGAGAAACATTCCCACAGCCGCATCGAGTACATGATCAAGGTCAGCAGTTCTAACATAATTCTGGCTAATTTCAGTCTTTCATTTGTTCTCAAAGCTTGACCAGCAGCGTGGGCATTTCTAACTTCATTAGTAAGTGCGTGTTACAGTTCTGTTCCCCGCTATGTAGGTTGGGGCAGAGGGGAATTGGGTGTATCTCAGCTCTCTGCACTCACCAGCCTAATGGAAATACTTAGAGGGCTGCTTTTCTGATTTAGTTTTTAAATTTCTTTAGGCAAAAAGTCAATTTAAACGTAGATCAACTGCCAACAATGTGGAGATTCACATTCCAGTTCCAAACGATGCGGACTCGCCAAAGTTTAAAACCACTGTTGGAAGTGTCAAATGGGTTCCAGAGAACAGTGAAATTGTCTGGTCCATTAAGTCTTTTCCAGTAAGTCTTATTTTTGGTCTTATTGCCTGAAAGTGTAATAATTAATTAACGTTAATATTTTATGCATGTTCAGGCTCTGCCTATTAGAAGCAGATTCTAATAGTATCTAATAGTACTGGCTGAAGGATTGGAACTTGCTAATAGATGTTTAAGATAGTGCTGTTTATATTAGTTTAACTGGGATATTTTTTTCAGAACGTGGTTAGAGAGCAGATTTTTGAGCCAGGTCTGTGGATGGTGTAATCCCTTGGCCTCGGTTTAGCAGCAGCTGGTTTAGTTTGTCAGACTGTGCTTCTTGGGAGGTTCCATGAGCGTGAGCTCTTTCAAATGTTAATGGAGTGGTGGTACAGCTGTCTGTCACTATGTAGTTAGAAAGGGCAGCAGCGTTGTTTTCATTTGAGTATGAGGCTGGAAGAAAATGAATTATGCCTCAGGCTGGTCCTGATTTTATCTGAATCTTAAAAAAAACCCAAACATTTTTTAAATAAAAAACAAGTGCTCACTTTTAAGCCCTGGAGAAGAGCTGAAAGGGTGGTGGAGCTCAGCAATTTGACATTAAGAATATACCACTTTTATCATTGCAAGTGTGTTGTATTTTTTTGTTTCAAGAAAAACTCTGTCCCTTTTGGCTAGGGTGGAAAAGAATACTTGATGAGAGCTCACTTTGGACTTCCAAGTGTTGAAGCTGAAGATAAGGAAGGAAAACCTCCCATAAGTGTAAAGTTTGAGATTCCGTATTTCACCACTTCAGGAATCCAGGTTAGTAGCTGAAAATAAAAATACTGATCAGTATTTTTAGGCTCTTCATGCACAAGTTTTTCTCATCTTCTTGATGATTCCTGTTCAGAAAATCTGATTTTTATCTTCTTTGCTGAATTTATTTCTTTTAACATATCTTTCTTTCTAGGTTCGCTACTTAAAGATAATTGAGAAGAGTGGCTATCAGGCTCTCCCATGGGTTCGTTATATTACCCAGAATGGAGGTAAGTAGAATCACAGAATCACAGAATGGTTTGGGTTGGAAATGACCTTAAAATCATCCAGTTCCAACCACCTGCCATGGGCAGGGACATCTCACACTAGACCATGTCACCCAAGGCTCTGTCCATCCTGGCCTTGAACACTGCCAGGAATGGAGCATTAACCACTTCTCTGGGCACCCTATGCCAGCGCCTCAGCACCCTCCCAGGGAAGAACTTCTTCCTTACATCTAACTTAAAACTTCCCCTGTTTCAGTTTGAACCCATCACTCCTTGTCCTATCACTCCAGTCCCTGATGAAGGTCCCTCTCCAGCACCCTTGTAGCCCCCTTCAGACACTGGAAGCTGCTCTGAGGTCTCCAGCAGCTTCTCTTCTCCAGGCTGAACAGCCCCAGTTTTCTCAGCCTGTCTCCATCAGGTGCTTCAGCCCCTGATCATCTTTGTGGCCTCCTCTGGACTTGCTCCAAGAGCTCCATGTCCTCCTTATGTTGAGGACACCAGAAGGCAATACACTGTAGGCGCCTCCAACTTGCATATTTTGTTTCTCCAGCATACGCCTCCAACCAGAAACACACAAATGCAGTTTGCTCATATTCCTAAGCATTAAACTATATGGTTTAGACACAGATTAAGGTTTGCTGCTTTTTCCAGTCACCTTTTTTGGTGTCTTAATGAAAGGCCTAATGGGATAGTTCAATATTTTGTGATTAAGCTGAGATCTGGTGAGATTTTTGGAATGTAAATTTAAAAAGAAATCGCTCACACATACTCTTCTGCCAGCTTCAAGATGTATAAGACACTGTCTACTAAAAGATACTAGATTGTTAGCAAGTAAAACTGGTGGGGAGGGAGGGTGTGGGTTTTTTTCTGCTTGCAATTACCTTAATCACTTTAGGGCTCATTATCATGGCCATTTTAAGCAAAGTTATGGGTTTATTTCACATCTCTTCATCCTCATTTGCTCATCTGCCTTACTGAAATGATTTACTAAACCACTTCTGGGTTTTTCCCCCTTTACAGACTACCAGCTTCGAACACAGTAAAACCCCTCGCAAGCACCACAGAGAACAAAACTTCAGGCCTAGAATTTGTTTGCAGAAGCTTCTGTGGTACTGAGAGCTGTGAATGTTGTTGCCAAGGGTCTTGTTTCTGCAGTCTTGGATTGGCAGGACAGAGATTGGAAATTTACTGTTTTCAATAATGTGTTTGAGCATTTGAAACATTAGTATTGATTGTGTGAATATTTATTTCATTCTTAGAACATGCTGATCTTGCTGCTAAATGCTAATTCTGAGTAGCAGTTACCTTGAGGAGCCAGGAATACAGAACAGACCTTGAGCATGTCTTGTCAATGCCTTGTCTGTTACATCCACAAAGTTTCTAGTATTCATATTTTAGGATCTCTAAAGACATTGGCAGGGTTATGCTACAAATTAGGGAGACAATTGTGCAATTAAAATGACTGCTGAACACTTAGTTGTATTTAGCCCAAGGTATTTATTTTTTTCTGGGCATATGGGTGCCTTAACTCATTCAAAGCTCTCTTAACTTATAAAAATGAATGGAATATGAGTTGAAACTATGTGAAATCAACAATAACTGTTTGCTCTTTTTTGCATGGTTTCAAACCAGATTGGTCTGACAGGAACAACTTCAAGTGAATGGGTTTGGAAACAAAAATATGGGTTTGTTAAAGACTTAAGTTAACCGAGAACAAGGGATCACAAGTAAATGTCTATGGGAACATCTCTGTAGAAGCATGATGATTGCTAGTTTGAGTTAGTCAGAATGCAGACTGAAAAGTTTCAACCCTGTGCTACCCCTGAGGCATGGAAACCCTCTGCCAATTGACTAGGTTTTGCTTTATTTCAATTTCTATCTGTAAAACACGTTCAAAACTGTAATAAGTAGACATAAGACCTTAGATCGATTATTGAAAGAAAGATCAAAACCCTTTTGGAGGTGATGACATTTGGTAGCAAGATTGGGGTTTTACTGTTATTTTTCCAGATGATAGTAACATACTCCAACCTCTTCTGGAAAAATGATTGTTGTTGATGAAGAGGCTGATAAAAACACAGTTGCCATCTTTCTTCCAGCTTGCCTTTGTGTTAATTTAGGGTAAATATTTCCCTTTTTTGGTGTAGCTTGCTAGAATTTAACTTTATTTGTCCTAAGGGAGATGCTTTCTTTCTCAGTCTTTTCCATTTGTAAACATCTAGAATTATAGCTTCCTGGCAGATGGATTACAGTTCAGAATGTCATACTTAAAGGTATTATGTTTTTTTACATGCCGTTTCATTTTGTATTCTGAGAAGCTAAGATTGGCATGGGTGTACATAGTTATTTTGATTTAATTTGGGGGGTTTTTCCTGAAAAATGATGGTTATCAGTATTTTTCTTTATAAGCAATTTTTAGAATGCTTTGGTTTGAATTTAGTCCTCCTGACAGATGCTAAACTTAAACCAGCACAATCTAAACATATGTCTGCAAACGTGATGTGCTACACTGTGCACAAGGTTCTCCACACCACTCTGGTGACAAGTCCTTGACTCTCCCACCAGATTGAGAAGACATTTCAGTCATTGTCCCCACTAAATCCTTGCAGACCCTATATATAGATACACCTGGGTGTACAGTATATACTGTTAGCAAAAAAAAACCCAATTAAATTCGCTTGCAGTGCAGCTGCTGTGACATGAGAGGAAGATCTGCCTCAGAAGGGGCTGATCTCTGGCGGTACCGAGGCAATACCAGTTGGGCAATGGTAGGTGTGGATGTGTGTATTCTGCAGTGAGGTTTAGTGTATTTGTCACCCCACAAGCTCGATGTTGAAACACATGAAATCATCCTCAAGATTTTGGTTCCACCACTCATTTTCATTTGAACAATGAAGCTTATGACTGGACTGAACATTTTTATATTAAAACTGTAACTGGTGGACAAATCATTTTCTGATGACTCTTTTTCTTCAAAGTGTTTGCGTTTATTACTTGTCTGTAAAATGTGACTCTTGATCCCTGTTTGCTGCTTGTATTTTGCAGTCCAGGACAGTGTTTCTCATATTTCTGTTTCAGTGATTGGGGCATCAGCCGTGCGTGTCCAGGAAGTAATAAAGGGTAAAAACCCCACTTTGAGTCAGTTGTACTTCAGATTGTAGCCTCTAATCTTCAATTACCTTCAGCTATTCTGATATGAGGCCTGGATGAGTGGAACTGACTTCATAGAAGTTATTCCTCTTCCTGATTTGTCTACCAAATACTGGCAAAGCCTTTGCTTTTCTGTTGTTCTCTACCAAATCTGCCTATGGGCAATAAAACTAGTGCTCATTATCACCCTCTATTTCAGAAAGCAGAATAAACCCCTCCCTCTTCATCCATTCCTTGTTGAAACGTTGGGTCTCTGTGTACTTACACAGGCAGAAAGACTGAAACCCAGTGCTAGAACAATACAGCATCTCTGGCTGTTAATCGAGGAGTAACTTGTTTATCCTTTGCAAGTTTTTTCTTGGAGCAGCTGCTAAATCTTCCCTCTGTTGGTGCCTTCTGTTCTCTGCCTAGTATGGAAAAATGTAAGTTTGATGGTCTTACAGCTAAGTGCCTAATGCAAAATACTTCTAAAAGACAATTTGCACAATTCAGGTAAGCAGTGAAGTGTCTCGTGTGTTTTCAGCTGTGTTACCTGGAATTTGGGATATTGAAAGACTAAAGTGGCTCTGAAACCACATCTGTTCCTAAGCCTGATGTTTAAACATTCTCTGCAGTCTTGGTGTGATACCCTGGAAGCAGCCTGTTTATCCTCAGTGAGCTTAAGTGTGTTTCCCTTCTCTATCCTAACCCAGACTGCTGGCTCAGAACATTTCGACAGCAGGAAGCACTCCCTCTCCCCCTTTCTTGGCATGCAAGACTAACCTCATCTACTCATTGTTTAATTGCTAGCTGATAAGATAGCTGCCCCTCAAGGTGCGTCAGCAGCACTCCCCACTGCAGTGAATAGGTAGTGTTACTTCCTGTAGTAGTGTGTGTGTGTGTATCTGATCTTTTGGCTTTCTTAGAATGAAAGTTTGCAACAGTCTTGTTTTGTTCCCTTCACGGCCAGTTCTACCAGTAGGTGGCATGCGGAGCTCACTGTGTGTGTGAATGACCAGAGGCGTGCAAAGTGTGTACTCAATGTGCCTCTTCATTTGGACAGTACAGCTATTTTAATGCCTCTGAAAAAAAAACCTTGTCTAAAATGACTTGGCTTTTAGGCTTATGCAAGTGTGATTGTTGGAGTTCAGTAACTTCTCTGTGTAGTTTGACAGTTCTCTCAATGTTTTTCTTTGTTACTCCCATCTGGCTGGTAGTGGTGATAATGTGAAGCAGAGCAGAGGGCATCAGTGCAAAGGGAGGGATGAGCTGCTCCGCGGTGCCACTGAAGCAGCTACTTGTTTGTTGTACATTGGTCAGGACCTTGCTGGGTCACAAGTTAAGGCTCAGCTGGTCTGAAAGCTCCTGTTTGATACAACGTGTGTGAGAGAGCATCTTTTCCCTTTTTCCCCCTATTTGATTATCTCTAGAGAAGACTCTTTGTCTCGATAAGAGAAGCCAGAACCTGCCTCCCAATCAAGTAAAGTGGGTGCCAAAGAAAAGCTTCATTCCACATCTGTCTTCCCACTGGGGAGATATTCACTGGTGTTCTCTTAAATGTTTCTGCTCCTCATTATTGCCATTCTTTATGCTCGTGTACTGATTGCACTGCTTGTATTTGCTTCCTGACTCTAACCCGAGCTGGTTTTGTCTCTAAAACATTCTTACACATACAAAGAGACAGTGAGACTAGAGTCCATAGTGGGTTTGCCTGGGGTTAAGAGACTGCACCTGTTTATTTCTGACTTTATATTCTCTGACAAGAAACGGGCTTGGCATTTCCAGCTTTATCTGGTGCCAAGTGCAGTGTGTTGCAATTCGTTCAGTGCTCTTTTTCCCCTCTGTGGTTGACACCCACTGCTGTTTGTAATTTCAGCAGCCCTGGCACCACGAGGGTTGGTGGCCTTGCAGAAAATAGCGTGAGAGAGCAAAGTTAAGGCACAGGATGAATAATCTGCATTGCTATGGTAATTAATTATACCACAATGTTATTTGTGTTCCAGGAGACGTTGTATTGAAATCACAAACCATCATAAACCTTCTTTTCTGCTGAATTTTGTGCAGCCTGGAATGTTCTACGAGTCCTGCCCTCTCTATGCACAGATTAAACTTGTTTCTCTTGAAGCTGGGGCACGTTGTCTTGACTCAGCAGTTTGTGCAGGCACAGTTGCTGTAGTCAGATGCAGGAGGTTCCCTTTTGGAGTTATTCCACTGTCTCATTAGTGCATTAGGTAAAGTCTTCGGGTCCTTCTGTATTTCACTGTGGGTTCTGTGTGCAGATCGTGGCCAGCTCTGGGTGTGGGATCTTCACAACATGACCATTGCTCCGGGCAGCAGCACGTCCTGCTCTGGGCCTTGCACCCCAGTTCCCAAACAGAAAAACATCTTATCTTATGGGTTTTAAAGGTAGGACCTGTAGCTCAGCTCAGTTCTGTGGTGCTCTCCTGAAAGCAAAGGGCTGCTTTATTAGGAACTTGGTTCAAACAGACACCTGAAACTGAGATCATTGAGAGCCCTGCAAAAGCAATGGCATCGCATGGGAAGATTAAATCAGCTTTTCCCAGTTCTGCTTCTCGGTGGTTGTTTCAGACTGGTTGAATCAGAGGATTTGGATAATTTCGAGTTTCATATCAAGAATTATGCCCAGTTTCACCTTATGACTCTCATTCACTCCCCTTCAGGCTGTGAGCATCTCGGACTGCTCATTCTGGGCTCGCTGACTGCCCAGGCAGCTGCAGCATTGCACAGATGCAGCTTCATTTTGCTGTAGGTGGAATTCCTCTGAAGAAATTATTCTGAATAAAAGCTGGGCTAGAACCTGGAGCCTCCGAGCTCATTTGCAGGCTGATGGTCAAATAAATAAGCAGAAACAGGCCTGAATCAACTGCTCAGCAACGTGAAGAACAAGGCACTCCCAAAGTCAGTGTGCCGGGCTAGGGCCCGTCCTGGAGAAAGTTTTGTAGGCTTAGTTCAAACCTTGGCCGTGGATTTGTACCTTGGATCAAAGTTTTGTTGCAGGCCCTTCTCCAATATAAAGCAAAGAAACGTAAAACAACAAATATCCAGTGAAATCCAAACACAATCTGCTCGATGTTATGCTACAAGAATGAATGAACTCTGCCTCCCACCCTCTCCCACTGTGACTTGCTGTGAATAAGCACCGCTCAAAGGAAACTATCACAAGAAGTTCTGCCT